AGAAAAGCCACCCACTCAGCAGCAAGCTGATGACCACGGGGAATAACCTAGTTTACATACATCCGGAGAGGTTGACCGCTCCTCTGCTTTCCCAGCGATTCCTCAAAGTCGATCGTAATATCCAAGCTCAAATCTCAATTTCACGGCATGGTCTGGCCGCGAGTTCTGAATTCTACGGAGCACATATCCTTTTCTTCCCCCCCCCCTCTTTCGATGAGTTTTCAGCTGTAGAAATTCTTTGCGTAACATGATCTGGCAACGCATGACATAGTTGGGCTCCCATAAAGACAGCCTCAGAAACCAGAATACCTGAAATGAAGGCAAAATTTGTTTTTTGGGGGGGGGAGGAGACGGGATTACCGGAATGAAACGCCTCGTGGCAAGCACCGACGGTTTGTCTCCGCACTTTATTTTGTCGAAAGCTTAAGGTAGTGTGTCAGGCGCGGGAGGGGTGAATCCGATAGTTTGGCGAGGGATGTCGACAGCGACTTTTCTCCACATGTCTTGGAATCTGAAGGAGTGTTGTAGGTCGGGTAACTTATCGCTTTCATCCGAGACTCGTGATCAAAAAGGATGGGATTGACGTTAGGAGACAAGCATCGCTAGCAGTCAGTTAACAAACCTCGTCAACGATGTACTTCCGGGCAGGGAGGACTCGTAAAGCAAAAGAACAAGGAGGGAGAGATGATATGCGCGTCAACCGTCATCCAAGCTTAGAAGTTGCCCTGCCGGCAACATGATTTCTCCGTTTGCCAGTTAATCCAGCATGATCTTCCATCTGAATGTTCTCCTGCAGAACGTCACGCACGCAGGCTTGATGTATACTGGGCGAAAAGGGCCAGGACGGATCCCCCCGAACTTCCATGCCAACCGTAGTCCGCAGTGAAGCTGGCCTTGTCCGTTGATCCCCTTGACTAATGTGCAAGGAGTACTGCGATAGGAAGTCAAGTCTGCCAACGCAGCGGTCAGCAGTTAATGCGCGTGCTATAAAATGGAAATATTTCACAATGTGGACAGAGATTGCATTATTATCCTTTTTCGCGGATGCGAACCCCCGTTGTAGTTATTTTTCCTTTTTTTTTTTTTTTTTTTTTTTTTTTTTTTTTTCCTCCCTTGTGTCCCCTCCATTAACTATCCAGTTACTATTTATTATCGATTGAAAATCGCCTAAGGGCAAAAAGAGGTCTAGGATATATATATGTATTGATACGTCGCGATCCCGGTCCACCTATCGAAGTGGCCCATTGCGTCGGGTATTGAAAGAGATGAGTTGTACAGAGATACGTTTGTATGTAGTGCACCGCTCTGCGGACGCCATCACACGGACAATGTCGTCGGCAACCTGGATAGAGGAAAGAAGCCGATGCGGGATTCTTGGGAGGACTGTAACTATTCCAGAGTTACGCAAAGATGTAATAGGTAGCTGATGGATGGGGAGAGGTATCCTTGGCCCATAACCCGATCCCAGGTATCTGTCACAACTTCCCCGGACAAAATGACGACGAAAGGTGCCTTTTTTTTGGAATCAACGAAGCTCGTACGGGGAGTACTGTTACTTCAGCGAAGTGACTAACTATACTTCTGTCTCCATCCATACATGCACGTTGTCATGGGTTGAAATTTATTATCACCTGCGCCTTTGATGAGGCGAAAGAAGCGATGCAGAACAATTCGCTGTTCGCCGAAAAAAGAGCCCTCGTGGCCTTGACCTACAATTGCTCATGCTAAGCGCGCACAACTCCTTGCCGCGTGTCATCATTCGTTGCTTCCTTTCCCCAGATTCTAACCAACAGTTTTCGGTCCTTCGACATCGCGTAAAACTAGTTTGAGCGATACTAGTCGGCCTGTTCAAAACGCGGAGTACGGAGTACATTTGTAGGTGGAAAAGAAAGACGAACTAATACCTTTTTTTTTGACAGTAAAGGGCAAATAAACCTCTTCCGCCCTCACCGTCTCTTCTCAAGGCCCGTTTCCTCGGTCAAGTCCCGTGAAGTTTGTGATTGATTTTGCCTAGCCTACCACTAACCAACTCCTTCCCACAAAACCGGCTACTCGTTTCATCAAGCAACGCGGTTGAAGGAATAGCAAAGCTATACGGAGTACTCTGTATTACTTTTAATTCCGTCGGGATTGCTTTCCTCCTTTTTTTTTTTTTTTTTTTTCTTCGGCAGAAAATGGATCCCGTGTTTATTTTGCATAACCTTGATCCGCCCACCGCGTAACCCAGCGCAGTGGGATCCGGAACGGGACCGGAGTCGAGCTCGTGGCCTCCACACACACCCCCATCGTCGAACTCACTTCAAGACCAAAGGGCTCGGGGAAGTCAGGAAGCAAATGATTTACGAGAACTTTCCGGGAAGGCGGTCTTGCGAAAGATGTGCTTGAATTTGAAGGTCCAAGGGTATGGCGGAAAAACGAAGATGGGCTGTTCAGGCGTGACCAGTCGAAAATAAGTCGTGGCGTTTTTTTTTTTTAATGCGCTGCTGTTTTCTCAGCCGTAAACGGAGCAACGACCGATCACTTCTAATGGCATCTGATAGCTATGTACGGAGTACTTCTGGCCTCCTTTTTTTTTTTGGAGGGGGCTGTGTCAAAAAAAAAAAATATATGTCGGGGACGCTTTGACGGGTTTCGGAGCCCGTCTTCGCCCTTGCTTGGTTAATTTTTTTTTTCCCATGGTTGCTGTGAGTATAGTTGCATTTCCCGATAAAAAAAAAAATTCTTCAGTAGAATGATTAGTTGCGGAGCTTCTCTCCGCCCGCCACAGTCGGCGACCTCATGGGCTGTGTCTTTGCCGCCAGGAGGGTCACGGGGTCAGGCGCGGTTTACACAGACGTTCTCCCGTAATCTTATGTAACCTCACTACGGAGTACGTGCTGCACCTCGGGTGGATGGGGGAACGTACATCCGCACACACACACATCAACAGAAGACGCAGACACATCCCAAAGGAGCTCCGGATGGCCCCAGGGACGCACAGCAATAATGCAAAGAGTAGCCGAAACCAGCAGGTGGAGACAAGCATGCGACGAAGATGCACATCGAAAAAAAAAAAAAAAGGAACTGTCAGATATTGCCCTGAAACGACCAGAGCGGCATGACAGTCGGTCGAGGGGCCAAATCGGATCTCTCATGCAAGAGCATGTGTGTGATCTGAGGCTCAGGTCCCGTCATCCAGCACAAAGGGGTCAATTCCTCCGTAAAGAGGACAACCGAAAAAGAAAAGAAAAAAAGAAAACCAAGAGGTCTGACGCGGATTGCAGTGGAAAGATGCATAAAAAATAAATAAAAATAAAAAATAAAAATAAACAAAGCGGGATTTACAAAAAAAAAAAAAAAAAGAAAAAAAGGTAAAATAAAATAAAACCAGCAAGCATCTGTTGACAAATTGAGCTGGGGACTTTTGCGGAGGGCGGGTTGTTGATAGGTGGTTTTTGACTGATGAGCTGTCACAGATGGATCAAGTGACCGCCCTCCTGAGAGGAAAATCATAATAGGGCAGATCTGAGCCAGAAGGACCGTCATTGTCCGGCTCACACTTTCCGGCAGCCGGTGAAAATGCGAGTGAACCTGTGGGCTGTTCTCGAGGAATTATTCGATTAGACTGAAAAAGGAATTGCTTGCTTTTGATTGTTATTTTTTTTTTTTTTTTTTTTTTAATTTTAATTTTTTTTTCTTGGTGGTTCGAATTTCACTCCTTTTTCTACTTTGGGAGGTGAAACTGTAAGCAGGATCCGAAGGGAGGCGGGAAGGTACTTAATATTTGCCAGGTATGCTCGAATGCTGCAGGTGGATGTTCAATACATTTTAGGATAATGTACAGAGCATGTTGTGTTGATGACCTGGCCGATCGGCCTGTTTGGTGGAATTCTAAATTTCTTTGTGACAATTAATTCTGCTTCCCTCTTTTTTCCCGTCGTCGAGGACTCTTGCAGAGGCGCCTGGACATCATTACTCTGACACTGGATGAATCCGGAAGTTGATGTTTCTGATTGGCCTCGGGGGGGCTGGGCCAACCCCACAATGGCTCTGCGACCTGCCTGAACTCAGCAGCATCATCGCCATCATCATAGAGTAAATTAAGGTTGTGATCGTTTGCGTTAGTCGAGTGTCTCGCTCGGTACTTCCTCCAATTCACTCACCCTGAATGTACCCATGTGAGTACCCCGTAAGATATACAGGTCCTGACGTTACGCGTTCGACGCATCGTGGTAAATATTACAGCGCACAACGCCAATCAGAATGCTGCCCAATTCTAGCAAGGGAATGACCGGAGTGCGGTGAGCCCTTGTAGGTATCGATGTACAGGCTGGAGTACGTTCTCGGTACGGTGAGATTCCCCCGCGAACCCGCCATGGGCTTTTCTTCCCCCCCCGGTGAACGTGACCACGGCTCCAGATCCATTGGATGCTAGAGTTCGCATTTGTATCAGTTATGCATGGCGATGCTGACAGCTGTGTCGGCAGTTGTCATATATGTGTCAGGCAAGTGGAGTGGAGGGAGGAACGGAGGTGCCAACTCTGTTTTTCGCAGCGCATGGCAGAAGGGTGAACATCGTCCACTTGTGTGTAGGAAGTGTAGTTATGTAACTAACTCCGGATTACGGAGTACATTGATACATGGCAATCCCAACAGGTACATGGCGGACAGGGAAGAGAAAGTTGCATTACAATACGGTCAGTACCAGGTTACGGAGCCCGGCGGTAATGAAACCATCCACACTTCTCTAGTTGCAATCCCCGCCGCCCAGTGGCCATCCTTAGATATGTATTTTTCCCCCCATGGTCCAGGGCCGTAAAGTGACTTTTTTAAACTCAAGCCCTGCTTTTTCCTGTTGGCACTGACTGTCGGTACGGCATGTTCTCGGTCTTGTCCAGGGCTGCTCCACCATCACGCCCGCCCCCCTCCCCCCGTCACTCTTACCACAACAATAAAACAGAGCCCGCCATAGAAAAAAATAGGACCCTCCCGGCCCTGCGGAACAAAACCACACTGTCTCCCCAACTCTCTTTCCCTTGTTCAACCTTTCCATCCTTCTGCTACCTTGCCTCTTTTTCTCCCTTCTCACTTCCTAATACTTACCTCACACTACCCTCCACCAAACGTTCCAAAGGATCTCGTTCTTTGTCGCCTTCCCTTATATAAACCGCCCCAATTCCCCCCAAGCATTCCCACCCACCACCCCGGACGACCCACCCCCAGGGGGCAAAAGATAGAAACGCCAGTCAAGTTATCACATTCCGATCTCCGGTTAAAAGGAAAGGCTCTGGGCGTCGATTCTGTGCGGACCGGACCGGCGCACAGAGAAGTACTCTCTGCGACATACACCCTACGCGGAAGCGTCAGGATCTAGAGGAATTGGGAACCTACAGCGGGAAGAGCGGTGAATCAAGGAAGAAAAGAACGGAACTGAAGTGCATTGGGCTTAGTGAAAGGGGCGTGGACAGCTTGGAGACCCGGAGACAACACGGAGGAACACAGAAAGGGAATTCCGTTTGGCTAGGATGCCGTCGAAGCTAAGCACGCCGGTCCTGACGGTGGACCCGGCGAAGATACACGAGGTTGATACGAGGAGTGCAGAGTCTCTTCATGGAATGTGGATGGGTAAGTATATCTCGCTATTTCGCTTTGGGTGAATATAAATGTTTTTGGAGTTCATGCGGCGGAAACTGTGCGACGGCAAGGTGCTGACTCGAAGTCTTGCAGTGTTCTCCCGGTGCGCAGACTATATGGAAGAAGGCAGACGGCTAGAAAACCTGAGCTGGAGATTGTGGAACCTAGAGACATTTTGCACATCTCCGCCGACAAGGTTTCAGAAGCGCAGGATAGACAGATTGCGCCGCGAATCCAAGGATATCCCTGAACTATCGACAAGCGTGGACTCGGCCGCCTCCGATGAAGCTGAGCGGATTGAAAGCCAAATCAAGTCGCCACCCAAGGACATGGACATCAAACCCAGGATCCTTGGAGTGGACCCGATGCTGAGCATGAGCCGCGGCAGAGAGCGACACATCACCTCAATAGGCTTGGAAAAGATGGTATACAAGATCAAGGAGAAAAAGTCCCTGGAGCCCATCGCTGCTTTACCCACATCTTCGCCACAGGAACAACAATCCCAGCAACAATCGTTGGACATCACGCCACGCGCCGCGTCCCCTACCCCAACCCCCAAAGTACGGAACGCTTGGGAATCAGTCAAACCCCATCATTCTACGGATTCTTGCTCGACAGTCGCGCTCGAAGCAAACGATAGTGAAGCCAGCCGGACTCCAGCCTCAGATACAAGCGTCTCATCAGCAGGTATCGTCAACTCTTCGAGCGTCGTCCGAGGATTCTCCCCATCCCATATCTCTTCATCTTATCGATCCAAGACTCAGCTTAATACTGGACTCGTTGCTCCTAAGCCGATGACCGCGATTAAACCTTCTCCTTTGAAGAAGAAGGGCATGTTCACGCTCGGCGGTTCATCTGGTGACGACGAGAGCTCATTCGAAGACCGAATGGCGATCAAACCTCAGAGAAGCTCACTGACCGATGGTTTGCACAAATCCACACTTTCCCAGCAGATGCAAACCGATCTTAAGGCCGCGCCTCCTTCAGACGCAGCGAAATCCACCAAGGAGAGCACAGATGACGAAGCAGCCATTGAAACCGATGATGAAGACATCCCTGAGAGCGCAATCGACGATGATTCTGACTGGGAGGATTCTGTCACCGAAAGCGGCCGATCAAGCCTTGACGAAAAGGAGCTCTTCCAGCGAGTCGATTCTCGACCAAATCTAGTCTCACGTCCCTCGTTGCTAACGATGATGATGCACCAACCCCAACAGACTTTAGTGTCGGGAAAAGGTCGAAACCATAACTCGCGATCTACCCCTGCCCTTCAGCGATCTCGGTTGGCTTCACCACACCACCAATCCTCGGATGAAGATGACGACGAGAACACCCTGACCATGAGAGGACCCGAAGTCCCTCGCTCCAAGCCAATTGTCGTCAAATCTGTACCGATGCACTCGATAGCCCATTCGCCACGCACTACGCGACGAAACATGCTTGCTACGGAACTCACAGAGTCATTAAGGCGACACCTACTTTGGGAACGCCAGCAAAAGACGGCGCCAGCCGCTGCTGCCTTCAAACGGCGGCACACAGCTCACGATATGGCTAATCTACAAGAGTATCCTGGTCCGAAACCTTCGACGGAGGAACAGCAACAACCACAGCGACAGCCTCCTCAAGCGGTACACTCATCGGTCCAGCAGGTGAAGGATAAGGAAACCTCGAAGAACAATTCGTGGAATCACTACTTCGACTACGGCCCTTGGGAATACCATGTCAAAGGCTGGTAGAGTGGTCCGTGTTTTGATTTTCGAGCTGTGCCTTCTGCCTTTTCCACATTCTCAGTGATACCCCGCCGGTTGCCATCGACCGTGTACAGATAATCTTACGAGTTCTTCTTTTTCCTCCTCGATACCCTTAGTCGCCTGATTCCTATCTCTATGACACCAACAATTGCGATCATCCTGCATCCGAATGCCTTATTTTCTGTGTTCACCGTCCAATGTTTATTCTAATTTTACGACCTGTTGTGTGTTTATTATTGCATGGCCGGGAGCGAGATTTTTTCGTTCATGTGACATTCTTACAAAAGATTTTACCTTCAAGAGGAGTTCACCCCAAAATTGAAAAAAAAAAAAAAGGAAAAAAGAAAAAAAAGAAAAAAAGAAAAAGAAAAGAAAAGAAAAGGGCAAATGAACCCTCTCATTCCACTGGACCTGCAGTTGAACACCCAGCTTAATTTCTTTTTTTCTTTTTTTTAATCCACATCTACAATGCTTCTTGTACAAGCTTTAATTTAATTTCTTTTTTTGAATGTAGATATATTCCAAGGGTGGGGTTTCTATTACTATCTCATGGTGTTTGTTTCTTTTTCTTTAGCCAACGGCCTGCGGGATTCATGGACACGGGATCAGATACATATGGACGGGATTGTACAGATCTGAAGAGGCACGCGCCTGAATCGATATATATATATATTTTTTTTGTTCAAATTAATTATTATTGATTATTTGACTCTTTTCCCATCCTCCTTAAATCTTCTTCTCGTGTCTCGCTTGTCGGCGAACCCGGTCTTGTCCTGGCGTCTCCGTGAATTCAGCCCGGGTACGAACATCTTGATCCTGCCTGCTTGCGTGGTGAGATGGACAGTTTACAGAGCGTTGAGACCTGGAAGTTTTCCGCGGTTATCATTCCGCTCTTAGGAGCCGTGATGTCTCCTTTTTCTTTTTCTTCCTTCTTTCAAGGTTGTCGTCCACGGTTGGTGGAACAGTACTACATTGCACATACATAAATACGGGCAAGCAGCTTGAGTCATTTCAGCTGTTATGCACATATGTTCGTTGACATCTGTTCGGAATAGATGCAGGGAAGAGCACGAAAAAAACAATAAAATAAAATAAAATAAAATAAAAATAAAAAAGTCCAGGTTCTTATTCACATGGACCCTGGCTTTTGTTGTCTTTGAGGCCATCAGTGAAGAAAATTCCCCATCCAAGCTCTTCGTATTGTTTTCGTCACTATTTTTGGATTTGCGGCAGATCCGATGGGCTGCGGCCGTTGGGGGTCGCTGTTTTTTCAGCTCACGTCCCCGTCAGGGACAAGGGTCCATGGGATAAAGGCCAACTCCCACATTCATCCCCATAGTTATGTATAGAGCTGACAAAGGCGTTGGCCAGCGAGTGCAGAAAAAGTAAGCCCGGAGTGACAAGTTATTGCCTTTATCCCGTGCAATAGTAGGATTCCAATAATATAAAATTTTGTCCGATAAATTCTTTCTCTGCAACCCCCCTTTTTTTTTCAAACATTTTGATTTTCCCATCCACCCTGCATGCTTGTTGAGGAATCTAATTTTGTAAAATATCATCCACTTCTGCTTCCTGCACCCTTGCTCTCACTAATGAACTCCCGTCAACGGACGGACGTTCACTGAGTTAGTGACCTGCCTTATTCGTTCCCGGTCTCTCTTCTCCGAGACCAGCGCGCGGGTGATGTTTGTGTGCTCTCTCGTACTCGGGAACGAGGGAGCGAAGAAATAAATCTTTAAAAAAAAAAGAAAAGAAAAAGAAAAAGGTTGACCTTCCTTGTTTTCCACGCCGGTGATTCACGCCTTCGTGTCATGAATTTGTCGATCCGGGACTGTTAGACCCTGAACGGCCCGGAAGGGAGAGGAATGTGGACAGCCAGCTTAACAGCAGCAGGGTCGCCAGGGGCGATGTGCTCGTTTGTTTTGGACATTTTGAATGGTTATTTTTATTTTTATTTTTATTTAGTTTTTATTTCCCCCCTGCAGGATGGTCTACTGGAAAGACACAATGGTGTGTGTGTGTGTGTGTGTGTGTCCGTGTTCCAGTATGTCTGGTATGTTGAACATCCAACCATCCATCCCATGATCTACTTAGAATTTTTCATTTCCTGGGTCGATCTCACCGGTGTTGGTTCTGTATGCCGGGCTCTCCTCCCTCCCAGCCTTCCCCTTCAAGTTGCTTACTGGAACTTGCAAGGGGGCCGGCATCTCCGACGGCTGTTGGGAAGAGTCAACCCCCTGTTAGTCCACCCCCACGTGGCGTCGAGGTGGAAGGAAAGGGGCTTGGGCTCGCGCACCGGTACTGGTGTGTGCGTACGCGTGCATGGTTATCTGTGAAGGGATCATACCAACGCTTGGGTTCATTTCCTGGGGGGAAGCAAGACGGCGCCGCGTGTCTGGGAAGGAAGAAGGAGGGGAGTTGGTCTTGGGAACCGTCGGTTGAGATGAAAATAATTTGAACCGGGTTTTAATACCGAACCATTTTTCATCCCCCTCCCTAAAATGATTATTTCTCGCATATTCATTGGGGAAAGGTTGCATATGCATTTTGTTTATTGCATATTAAGGGAGAGGAATGGTTGAAGCTCTGATATCTGTAACTTCTATGGTATAAGATTTTGGGGTGGGAGCGCGATTGGGCGTAGACTACGCGCGGGAGCAGGAGTCAAATTCCGTCTCCAATTTTCAAAAAGTGACTGCGCGCTTCTGTTGAGTTGGGTTAGTTCACATATGGACGTCACGAGCCACTACCGGCTTTTCTCCAGCTGTAGCATCTCACTAGTTGATTAAACCACCAATATCCTTCGCTACCAGCTCGCGATACGATCCAAATTAACTGAAAACAGTGGCCATAATCTAACATCCCACCCCATAACCTTATCAGAGCTTTTATTGCAGCACCGCCCACTTCAGATAGCAATTGGGGAGTAGAAATCAAGACGCTAATAAGCGCCTTGCCGAATTCTGAGCCACCAAGAGCCTGCGACTCCGTAATAAGGCAGTGCTCTGGGGATAGCACGAGGTCGCAGAGTTTCGGTGCTTCAACAACAGGATTTATCGGTATGTATGTGAGATGATTTGCTCGACGTGGGAGCAGGGGTGACATCTTATCCCGGTCGCATTCATATCCATGTTTGTATCCTCCTTTAGGAGCTGCCACGGTGAATTTCGGGGGACGGTAATGGAAGGATCGGCCAATATGGCTAGCTAGTGCCATAATGCACAGGGAGCTCCGGCATGCTTGAGATTGTGAAGCTGGAGTAAGCACCAAAAGTTCTGACTTCACGCTCGCAAACCCAGATACACCGAGTGAGCTATAACTGCGGTTACTAAGATTTACTCCCTAACGATAGGTGTTAGCTCGCTTCCTTCCTGTCCAACCAAAGAGTTCTAGAAGCCCGGTTTTTGAAACATCAAGCAGGCTAGAGGATTCACGCTGGAGGACAACGCTTGGGTTCTTCCCTCAAAACCACACACGATGTCTAGAGTGTCGATCTCTGAAGCCGAAGAAAGATGTGTTACCATTGAATGGCGTTTGGGCTGGTGTGATAACGATGCAATGAGAGCAGCTAGCGCTGTGAGGAAATAGAGCCGCTTTCAATCCAGCCCTGCTGTAAGGTGAGTACTCCAACACGACTTGAGGAATGTCTTGAGCACGCGACCATTTCGCCCTGGATTGTGGTTTGACCTGACCTGCACCCTCGTCGCATTGAGGTTTTGCACTTCTCCACGTTTGTCTAACTTACCCCACGCCGAACGAAAGCATCGCGACTTAGGAGACCCACAACACTCGAGTTTTCCATTCAGTTTGACGAGGGGAGGGTGTCCATAGTTGGCTTCCCTGTCGTTAATTTGATCACCATTGATGGCATACATCAATGCTAAAGAGATCAGCAACGTATCGCCCGTCATAAGCATGCGCCGGACTATATTAACGGATATTAAGACGGTCAAGCTTTGAAATTTTTCGTGTTGAATGTTGAGGGAAAAACTCAAGAATCATTGGACAACAATGATCGTTGACGCTGGGTCCTGTTTGGAAACTGTCGGACCCAGATTGTCCCAAGGCTATGCTTGAATGTTGTGCATGTATTCTTCTGTTTGAGAATTTCAACCTCATTTTTGCAGTCCGGGGGACATGGCATCAAGCATTTAAGGAAAAGGATCTTCAGAAAGGCAAGTTACATGTCCTTTATGTCTTGTAGCGGCTGCATCGATGCAGGCTCTGGAATTTCCTGCATCCCGCTATGCAAGAGTGGCACCTCAGCGCGCACGACGTTATTGCTCTCCAACAGCTATATAGGCCGTGAGCCTCTCGCGGCAACTTGGAATAGAATATCGAGATTCCCTAGTAACATGTATGAAGGTACGGAGTATATACTGGACATTCATCTGTCCATACATGCGAGTCATTGATGAAACCACCGTCACAAGCAACAAATAGCCTTGTAGTTTTCGTGCCTTGCAGATCATACATCTTTTCTCTCCACAAAACCTTCTGGTAAAATAATGATGATTCGAGTGCTCCAGAAACGTGAGCTTTCAAGATCAGCCAACCACATCCGAGACTCAAGCATCATGCGAATCATAGATTTTGCTGCCAAGCGAAGCCGTTGGGCTTTCTGCCAAAGAGTCGACCAAGTTAGTGCGATAAGCGTGTCTCGAGTCTCTTTCAAGGCATGCACTTGGTGGAAGTTGGTTGGCTGCTCACAGGAGGCTGGGCTGTTCCGCGAGCTTGCGATGCAGACCGACTCTCTGTAACTAAACTCTCGATCATTGATTTCTGGTGGCGATCGAGACCAGCCCGGGGTACGGAGTACACACCACTAAATAATTTTGTATTTTTTCTTTTTTTCCCCCCACAAGTACTCCGTATAGTGCCTTTAAAAAAAAAATCAATCGGCAAAACATTTGAGACCCAACAATACCGCATTCGTCAATACTGTAACCATTTCCAATGTTGACGCTGGCTCTTCTGATGGTTAAATACTGCTCTTGAAGAGCTGAAATATAACATATATGACTTGTAAATGGCCTCTTGGGATTGAGCCTTTGTTTGTGTTGAATTACAACCCACACAACCTGTAAGGTGAACCTTAACATGCAAGTATATCCGGTTCTAGCATATCGAGTTCACCAACCCGTGACAATCGTCAAACATTAGGATGTTGACACTGGTGGCAATGTTGATCCTCGACTGGCCGCCCGCTAGTATTTAAAGAACGTCGAGCTCAAAGGTCGACCGAATAGTCCAAGACGCTGTCTAGACGCCGAAGCTTTGTTAGTTGAGACAAGAGTTTACGTTTCGGATCTTGACAAATGGATAGCGAAGTCGCCAATACAATGGACTGTGTCGACTCCCTGCAAACCATTATTACAGATCGGGAGCTCATTGAGTGCCAGGGTTCGAAAGCCAACCGCATCGATAGCCATGTGGCTATTACCCCTAGGCTTGGGGAGGATATGATGCTGGAATCATTAGTAGCAGCCATTATGGTTTTCTCACCCTCAAGGACAGTGATGTATGCAAAGCGCTACAGGCTTGGTACACATGTATGTGCGCACGTACATACCGACATCCGTATCAAACGTGAGAAGCAGGGATATTGTTACATAACTAGCCATGCGCTCCGCACGGAGTACCAGGCCAGGTATTAACCATGCATACTAAAACTGT